AAGCCAAGGTAATGGCACAGCTCTCCAAGGTTAGTGCAGGTGTGTCTCTTCAGCACCTCTGCCTTCACGGAGACCAGTGCGTCCCTGTCTGCTGTGGTGAAGACCAGGTCATCTACGTAAACAAGGATGTAGAACGGAGTCTGGCCAGCACGAACGAAGAGCGAGGGGTCTGCAGAGGACGGAAAGAACTGTAGGTCAGCAAGGGTAGCACGCAGCGTGTCGTGCCACTCACGGGGAGTCTGCCGTAGGCCATAGACAGGACGCCGCAGGAGCCACTGGGCCCCAGGAGGGAAGGTGCCAGTGAAACCCTGAGGACGACACAGGTAGACCTGCTCATGTAGGCTGCACTGAAGAAACGCAGTGGAGAAGTCGAGGGAGTGAAGCTCGTAGTCACGCTGAGCAGCTACGTGTAGCAGCACCCGAAGAGTAGTCATCTTCGAGGGTCGGGGCGAAGGTCTGAAAGAAGTCCACCCCCTCACGCTGACTGAAACCTCTAGCCACGTAGCGCGCCTTGAACACAGGCGGCTCTCCAGGAGGGCGCTTCACCTTGAAGAGCCAGCGGCCATCGACTACATTCACCCCAGGTGGGGGAACTGCGTCGACGTAGGTGCTGGTGGATCTCCAATATGCCATTTCTTGCTCCATGGAAGCTATCCACTGAGAGGCCCAAGGTCCCGAGGTCGCCCCTGCGTAGGTGCGAGGGGTCGGGATGTAGAAAGCGTCTCGGTCACCCTCAGGGACTAGCAGCATGGAACAGAGATGGGGAGCAGCCTCGGACAGGAAAGCAAGCTCAAACTGGCGGTCCTCCAGGACGTCACTGCCGAGGGCAGGAGCACCCCCGACAAACGGAGGACCGGCTGGGTCAGAGACCAGAGCGGTGGCGTAGTCAAGGCGGCGGGTTGAGGCGAAGTCAGCGACCGCAGCGACAAAAGCGTCAAGATAGGAGACAGGAACAGACGGGTCGGTAACAAGAGAAGCGAGGACCCGAGGAACAAGAGGACGTGCGGGACGAAGGTAGTCAGACAGAGGAGGAGGCGCAAGGGTAAGAGAGGATGGAGGAGGTGACGGTAGAAGGGGAGGACGAGACGCGTTGGACCGGAGCAACATAGGGTGAGAGCGCGGGACAGGGGAGACAGGACGAGCACGGGAGGGACGACGAGACTAGGCGTGAGACTGAGGAGTGGGGTCAGGAGACAGAGGAGGGGACACAAGCGGGGAACGAGGGGGAAGACGAGCTGGGGACGAGTCCGGCGGATGGAACACAGGGCCGTAGACAGGAAGAGGGGGAGACGGCAGGAGAGGAACAGACGCCGGGGCAGGGGACGGAAGGCCGAGCAGGCGAAGGGCTGACACCGGCGGGGACTGCTGCTGCGGCGGCACAACACCGGGACGGCAAGCTGCTCCTTACCAGGAGGCTCGGTCCAAAGAAGGGTCGGCGAAACCTGCGGCCGCTGGGAGTGCGACCACAGGTTAAGCTGGTGAGCAGCGTAGCGCACGACGAACGGCCACAGAAAATGGGGTGCACCGGCATGGATCATGGAGGTGCGAGCCACCTCCATGACCAAACCGATGCGTCGCTCAGCGACCCCATTCTGCTGTGGGGAGTCCGGCAGGGTGAACGTCTGGGTGATGCCCTCCACACGACAAAAGAGACCAAGGACACCTGAGGCAAACTCGCCACCACGGTCTGAGTGAAGACGCAAGACAGGGAGACCTCGGTGGACACGGGCAGAGACAAGCCAGGGGATGAGAGCGTCAGGCACGTCGGCCTTCCGCTCCAGTGAAGTCGTCGACAAGCACTAGGAAGTAGCGCTCTCGACGCGGCCCATGGACGGGGGCAGGGCTCCAGACGTCCATGTGCAGGGTCTGCAGCGGCGCGGCGGTAGGGGGAAACGAGGAGGAGTGAGGGGCACGACGAAGCCGACCCTCGACACAAGGCGTGCACAATGGGGCGGGGGAGGAGGGAAAAGCGGGAAACGAACCGGGGAGACCAAGGACGAGGCCGTGCTGAGACATGTGACGCAGACGCGGGAGCGCAGGGTGACCTAAGCGGTGGTGCCATAGAAGAGTCGGGTGAGTGAGGGACCGACAGGAGCAGGCAGCAGCAACCTGGGAAGACGCAGCCACCTGAGGGGGGTCCCAGCCGGGGGGGTCACGGTGTCCAGGGTGAACAGGCCGGATACTGGGTCCCGGGGGAACGTGGACAGGGGGGCACCAGTGGCGGCCTCGGTACAGACAGCATACCGCTCGTGACTAGGGAACGTAGTGGTGACGCCAAGGTCCTGGAGACAGCCGACACCAACTAGGTTCCTGGAGAAAGAGGGGATATGCAGACCTGTAAGTGAGCCCAAGGGAACCGCCGAACAGGGAAGGGTGGTGGAACTGCGGGCGACGACGGGATCGCCGGAGGGGTCAGCAAGAGAAACAGCAGCAGGAACAGGAAGCGGCGTCAGCGTAGTCGAGTCGCGGAAGAAACACCGGGAAGCGCTAGAGTCCAAGGTGAAGGAAAACGAAGCAGTGACTTCCGGCGACAGGGTGACGGTGGAAGCACCAAGGCTAAACAAAGCAGGAGCCCCTACACCTGACGCAGCAGGGGAAGATAAGCTAGGGACACCTACACTAGGCGACAAGGAGTAATAAGAGGGGAGCACACTAGAGTTATCAGCATACATCACATGCAGGGCAGAAACAATGGCATCCATGTCCATGTCAAAAATCTGAACTCTACGACTAAGCAAACTGTGCCAGTCCGGGAGGTCAGGCGACGAGACGAAGCGCTGACGAAACAGGTCGTCCGGGCGGCGAAAACAACGGGCAGTGACGTGACCGATCTTACCGCAAACAACGCCGCGGCGAGGACCGGTCTGGATCTGGTACTGACAGTGCACGCCTCCCGAACCGCCACCCGGCATACCACCACGTGCACGACCACCACCAGCGCCAGGCCACCCGGGCGGGAGGGCACTCGCCTGCCTCGTCTGCTGCGGGTGCTGCGGCTGGTGCGGCTGGTGCGGCTGGTCTGGCTGGTGCGGCTGCTGCGGTTGCTGCTGCTGCTGGGGCAGTTGCTCAGCTAGACCCGGCAGGGTCGCCTCGTCCGCTCCACCACCAGACGACCCGACTCCTCCACCTCCACCTGCACCCCCACCTCCTCCGCCGCGCCCAGCATTGGGGCGGCGGCCCTTCCCCGGACGGAACTGCGATGTAGCGGCGGTCACAGCCACAGCGGCAGAACCATCGGAGAAGGTGCACTGAGCGGGGGCACAACCCTGAAAGATAGGGACTGGCACAGTACCGCTCGCCTAAGCGATAGAGCGGTGGCGGGTCTCAATAACAGTCAGGGTGTCTACAAAGGCTGTGAGGGTGAGGTCGCCAGGGTGAACGCTAAGGAAGTGGTCACGAGCAGCGGCAAGGCGGTCAGGGAGGCGGGTGGCAAGCAGGTAGAGGGTAGAGGTAATGGGCGGCTGGTGGGCTCTAAGCTATGCGTCAGTGCAGGCAGCGCGCCAGGTCTCATCTATCGTGCACATGTGGGCAGCCAGGTCAGCGACAGTGGGGAAAGACGCAAGGTCGGGAAAGAGCATCGGTAGGATCAGGCGGCCCACCGAGGCAGCCGGGGGGGCGGAATAGCGCCGGATGACAGCGTCTAAGAAAGCCTGGGCGGTGGTGATAGACCTAAAGCGAGGGCGCTCAGACGGGGGGAGGGCATTGCTAATGGCAAGCTGTGCAACAGCGTCGCGGGAAAGCCAGACAGAGCGAGGGAGGGCAGCGGCCGCAGTAGACTCGCGCTCAGCAGAGGTGGGGTCAGCGGGCAGCACAGCAGGGGGGTCTGGGCAAGGAAGCGTACCGTCAAGGTGGGCCGAGAGCGGTTGGCCATCCTGCCGCTGACCAGTGAGGTGGCGGCGGAGGTTGGCTAGCCACGCCTCGAACTCCAGAGGCTGGCCCTCAGCATCGAAGCGAAGCTCCGCCGCCATCAGGAACAGTGGAGGGCAGGGCCAGATGAGGCAGTGCAGTGCGGTACAGTGGGGTGCAGTGCGGTGCAGTGCGGTGCAGTACAGTGCAGTGCGGTGCAGTGCGGTGCAGTACAGTGCAATGCGGTGCAGTGCGGTACAGTGCGGTAAAAAGTGATGAAGAACCGTACCAGGGAGGGTGCAGTGCAGTAGCAGGTGTTGTGTGATGTCATCATATGCTATCATGAGCTTGCGTTACAATTGCGGCGGTTACAAAGTGAAGTTGTGGGGTGACTTTATATGGAGTTGGGACCTTGGGGTTGGGTAAACTTGTCACTCTACTGTAACAGCTGCAAATAGGTTGGGAACAACCAAGCTAGGTTGGCAAGGGTGGCCAACTTGGATGGATTGGTTGGGAAGGGACAAAGGTCAAAGTTGAGGTTCCTATAGGGAGGGAATCTTTGTGCTTATGGGGTTTCCTTGGTTGGGGACTCTCTTGGGACCTTCCCTCTCATCCCTCTCTTCTATCCCAACCTTTCTCTTGCTCCTCTAATTCCTTGTGAGATTCTTGAACTTTGATTGAACTCTTGAGATTGAGTTAAGTTCTCCTCCTACAGCTTACCCCCTAATGCGTCGAAAGCCATAGCGTCGCGAATACTTCATCAATCAACATGATTCAAATTGGGAACGGTAGCTGAGATAAAGAGCTACAACATATCCAAGTTTCGCGACATTCCAACGGCTAGTGTTTTGTCGACGTCGTTTCTTGTGAAGACGACTTTTCTGTCCAGAATTTCGGATTTATATTTTGAGTAATTCTAGCTCCTAAGTTCACCTAGACTCTGTCCTTAATCCTAACAAGTGGTATCAGAGCGATATTAAGGACATTGAGAGGAGTCTACAGAAGTGTGAAGACCCTTCTAGACCCACCATGGCCTGTGGGTGTGCCTAAGTGGTGTTCTAAAGGTTGGATGTGTCTTCCGCTAAGGGGAAACTCTGCCGAAATTTCGTGGACGCCGACACTTGTGAAAATATCGAGGGAGCTGAGTGTGGACAGCAAAGGGGAGCTGAAATTCGTCATTTCTCAAGGAGAAGATGAATGAGAGAGGAGGAGATGCTAATGGAAGAGGAGCTGTAGCTGAGAAGACAAGTGAGCCGCCGCCATCAAAAGTTGAAGCTTTGGATGGCTCCAACTATGAGGAATGGAGCGGACGGATGAGGAGTGCCTTCAAACGCTACAAGCTACTGAAGATTGCTGTTGGGGAAGAGAAGATGCCAGAAGAAGGCGAAGCACGCGAACCGTGGATTGAGAAAAGCGCGGTGCTTTTCGACCTCATCCTTCAATCGGTCAACAAGGAGATGTTCGAGCACATCAAGGATCTTGTGGAAGCGGATGATTCGGGTCCAAGGGCGTGGAAACTACTACGCGATGTGATTCAGCCCAACACTCTCCCGATGGTGATCGTGCTCGAGAAGGAACTTGCTGCCATCTCCATGCGACCAGGGGACGATGTGAAGCCGGTCCTTGACAAGATCAAGAACACCTATGCAAGGATGGCAGCAGCGGGCAGCAGTGTATCTCAGCTGCAGCAGTGCACCAAGATCATCTCGGTGTTGGACAACTCTTGGGACAACCTCATCCCCACCCTCAACTCTCAGCAAGATCAATGGACACCTGAGTGGCTAAGGCAGCAGATTCTGCAGGAGGACTTCCGCAGACGCCATGTGGGAGGCGGTGCTGCCACTAAGACTGCTGAGGGGTATGGAGCTGCAGGGCGCGGCAAAGGAAGAGGGGGTTGGAAAGGCCGAGGCCGTGGGAGAAGCTTTGGCAGAGGTAGAGGCCGAGGTGACTATAATGAGGGGCATGGGAGCTCCAGTGGCAGGGGGAGTACCAGAATGGAGGGCACCTGCTGGTACTGCAAGAAGGTCGGGCATCCTTGGTTCAAGTGCTTCAGCAGGCTGGAGGGATGGTCACCTCCAGGCATGAAGCCGCCAAGTGGTGAACGCGCACAAGGTGGCGCTGTGCAAGGCTCAGGTGCACAAGGTGAAGGTGCACAAGGTAACGCCTATCCTGGGATGTATCTCATGGTTGAGGATGTGCATGGGCATGAGGGTGATGTGGGATCTGTGGGAAAGGTTGTGATGCACCCTCTCACGCACTGGGTGATTGATTCGGGTTGCACCAGTCACATGACTCCACGGGCAGATTTGCTTGATGAGGTAAAACCCCCTGGGAAGATTAAGTATGTGGCAGCAGCGTCAGGTGCTTTGCTCCCCGTGATTGGTGTTGGGAATGCCAAGGTTAAGGGAGCTAATGGGGAGCTTGTGGGGCTTGGGAATGTTCTGCTGGTTGAAGGCTTGTCTGCTAACCTTCTCTCTGTGCGACGACTGCAGAAGAGCAAGGCCGAAGTGACCTTTGGACCAACCAGCTGCCGTGCTAAGCTTGGGAAGAAGGTGCTGTGGAGTCTGGAAGAGGAGACCAGCTGCATCAAGGACCTGTGGCAGCTGCCCATCATCCCATGGAATGGGAAGACTCCAACAGCAGCAACGGCAGCAGCGGCAAAGGCAACAGCAGGAGGAGATGCAACTGCACCAACTGATGGGGTCCTGGAAGCAGTCAAGAAAGTGCAGCAGCAGCAGACACATGGTGAGGTGCTTGCTGGTGTGGATGCGAGTGCGGCATGGGCTAAGGCTTCATCAAGGAGTGGAGAGGCCGATTGGGAGACATGGCATGAGAGGCTGTGTCATGTGAACTTCCCTATGCTGCAGAAGTTGGTGAAGAATGGGAGCCTGAAGGGCTTGGAGGTGAAAGGGGAAGTGAAGGAGATTGGGAGCTGCCCTACATGCTTGGAGACCAAGTTCTCCAAGTTCCCCTTCAACAGCACTACAGGACCAGCCAAGACCCCACTTGCACTTGTGCACATGGATGTGGTGGGGCCCACAAGAGCCCCTTCCCTCTCAGGCAGCCGCTATTTCTTGACAATTGTGGATGACCACACTCGGGCAGTGTGGGTTTACCCTTTGAAGAGCAAGGGGGAGGTGGCAGCGGCTGTCCTTAAGGAGTGGATGCCTAGAGCTCAGAGGGAATGCGGACACAAGGTGAAGGTGATCCGCAGTGACAATGGTGGGGAGTTCATTGGAGCTGATTTTGAGGGGGAGTTGAAGAGGAAGGGGATCCAGCATCAACTGACAGTGCCCTACAACCCGCAGCAGAATGGCGTGGCTGAGAGGTTCAACAGGACCCTGCAGGAGGGGGCACGCACTCTCCTTGGGCGTGCAGGGCTGCCTGATCCGTTTTGGGTGTCTGCATTGAGGCAGGTCGCCCTTGTGAAGAATAGGGTGCTGGCTACAGTTGGGGATAAGGAGTGGATCCCATATGTCAAGTGGTATGGGAGTGCTCCAGCTGTGAACATGCTGAGGGCATTTGGGTGCATGGTAGTGTTTCATGTGCCTAAGGAGAAAAGAGGGAAGTTGGAGGCTTCTGGAAGATGGGGTGTGCACTTGGGGATTGCAAAGGATCACAAAGCGTGGCTGCTATGGGACTTGACCACCCAGAAGCTGACAGTGTCAAGGGATGTGAAGTTTCTTGAGTCCCTGTACTACAAGGAATGGAAGCAGCAGCAACAGAAGCTTCCATCTACACCGCTCATTGTGGAGGTAGATGAGGTGCAGCAGCCTTCAAGACAGGTGGAGGTTGCAGTGTCAGAGGAGGAGATGTCTGGGGTGACTGAGGAAGGGGGAGCAGCTGAAGTAGAGCAGCAGCAGCAGCAGCAGCATGAGTCTCCACCTCGAGTTCCACACCCGCCTGAGCGACCTAGGAGGGATGTGCGCCCTCCAGTGAGGCTGACCTATGGGGGAAGAGGCAAGCCGAATGTGGTGCAGGCTGGGAGTGTGGTTGAGCAGATTGAGGAAGATGAGATTGCATTATGCTATTGGGCTGCAATTCCTCAACCCAAGGTACTGACGCTAGCTTCAACTCAGTGAAAGCGGATGGCACCAGCATTGGGGGATATGTGTGCTTGCTAGGAGGTGGTGCTGTGAGCTGGCGCAGCAAGAAGCAGAATGAGGTGGGATTGTCCTCATGTGAGACTGAGTACATGGCCTTACACCATGGGGCCAAGGAAGTGGTGTGGCTGAGGCGCTTGTTGGAGGAGTTGGGAGTTGGTCAGGAGGAGCCGACAGTTGTGTTCTGTGACAATGAGTCTGCTGTGAAGCTCGCCAAGAATGCTTGTCTGCATGGGCTGACAAAACACATAAGGCCTAAGTGGCATTGGGTGAGGAGACTCCTCAATAAGGAGGTGCGGCTGGAGATAGTGAAGACCCATCAGCAGGCAGCAGATATTTTCACCAAGCGTCTGGCGGAGGCGGATCATTGGAAGGGCATGAAGCTTGCTGGGATGAGTGTGCATTGAGTATGCATGCTTGAGATGTTGGTATGGTGGATGATGGTTGGCAGCCAGAGGGGGAGATTGTTGTGTGATGTCATCATATGCTATCACATTCTGTCTGCCTCCCATCCCATATTTTTCAACTTGCATGTGTGGTTTGAACGTGTGCAAGAATTTGTGTGTGATGTGTTCTGGAGTTTGGGAATGTGTTTTGTGTTATTTTGTTTGAGCAGGTTTTTTGTGATGATAGATCTTGAGAAGATCTTTCCGACGCAACGAGAATCCCTTCAATCGGAGCAAGAACGCGAAAGCTATGAAGATTCAAAGTTCATGAGCTTGCGTTACAATTGCGGCGGTTACAAAGTGAAGTTGTGGGGTGACTTTATATGGAGTTGGGACCTTGGGGTTGGGTAAACTTGTCACTCTACTGTAACAGCTGCAAATAGGTTGGGAACAACCAAGCTAGGTTGGCAAGGGTGGCCAACTTGGATGGATTGGTTGGGAAGGGACAAAGGTCAAAGTTGAGGTTCCTATAGGGAGGGAATCTTTGTGCTTATGGGGTTTCCTTGGTTGGGGACTCTCTTGGGACCTTCCCTCTCATCCCTCTCTTCTATCCCAACCTTTCTCTTGCTCCTCTAATTCCTTGTGAGATTCTTGAACTTTGATTGAACTCTTGAGATTGAGTTAAGTTCTCCTCCTACAGCTTACCCCCTAATGCGTCGAAAGCCATAGCGTCGCGAATACTTCATCAATCAACATGATTCAAATTGGGAACGGTAGCTGAGATAAAGAGCTACAACATATCCAAGTTTCGCGACATTCCAACGGCTAGTGTTTTGTCGACGTCGTTTCTTGTGAAGACGACTTTTCTGTCCAGAATTTCGGATTTATATTTTGAGTAATTCTAGCTCCTAAGTTCACCTAGACTCTGTCCTTAATCCTAACAGCAGGCACGGAGAGCGAGCCGCACGCAGATTGGCGGCAGTCCAGCTGGAAGGGAGCACGGGGCCGGAGGTCGACGTGCAGGGCGCGCGCAGGGGCCGGCAGAACGGGCGCGGCGGGGCCAGGCAGACGCGGTAGGGCCTGGAAGGCGCGGCGGGGCCAGGCAGGCGCGGCGGGGCTAGGGAGGCGTGGCCAAGCCAGGCAGGCGCGAAGGGCCAGTCAGGTACGGCGAGGCGAGGCAGGCGCGATGGGGCCAGGCAGGCGCGGCGGGGCTAGGCAGGCGCGGTGGGGCCAGGGAGGCGCGGCGAAGCCAGGCAGGTGCGGCGGGGCCATGCAGGCGCGGTGGGGCCAGGCAGGCGTGGCGGGGCTAGGCAGGCGCGGCGGGGCCACGCAGACGCGGCGGGGCCAGGCAGGCGCGGCAGGGCCAGGTAGGGCGCGACTGGGCCCAGGAGGGGCGTGACGGGGCCAGGAGGCGCAACGGGGCTAGGAGACGCAACGGGGCCCAGGAGGGGCGCGACGGGGTTAGGAGGCGCGACGGGCCCAGGAGGGGCGCGACGGGCCCAGGAGGGGCGCGACGGGGCTAGGAGGCGCGACGGGCCCAGGAGGGGCGCGACGGGGCTAGGAGGCGCGACGGGCCCAGGAGGGGCGTGACGGGGCTAGGAGGCGCGACGGGCCCAGGAGGGGCGCGACGGGGCTAGGAGGGACGACGGGCCCAGGAGGGGCGCGACAGGGCTAGGAGGCGCGACGGGGCCCAGGGGGAGGGGGGGGGGCGCGGCGGGGCCTAGCTAGGGTACGGGCAGAAGCGGTAGGTGGGGGATCCTAACCTACATCTGATACCATCTCAGAGTAAGAAATGAATAATTGAATGAGGAGAGAACAAGGGTACAAGCATATATGTCTAAGGGTTGTACTTTCTAAGAGATGACCCTATACCGTCTATACAAGCATGAGAGATACAAGTGTTTGACATGCACTTACCTGCCCTCACCCAAAACTTTCGTCTAAGTCCCCAAGGGCCAGAGTCAAGTCCTTTCACACACACCCCGCCCCGCAACCTAAAATTTTTGGCGAAGTCCTAGTAGTCAGAGACAGTTCCCCCCAGCACATTTCTTCCCTACTCGCCTCGCAACCCCAAAAATTCGACCAAGTCCCCACAGACAGACACATCCCTCCCACACCTCCTGCGACCCTGAAATTTCGGCTAAGTCCCCACAGCAAGAAATATCCCTCCCTCAGGTCCTGCAACCCGAAAAAATCGGCTAAGTCCCTTGCAGCCAGAGAAAAAATCCTCCCACAAACCCCCGCAACCCGCAATCCTGCTTATTACCCGACATTTGTGAAGTTCCTAAAAGGGGTAACAAGAAATTCATTCATCTGGCTGGAGATTTTTTTTTTTTTTTTTTTTTTTTTTTTTTTTTTTTTGATTTCTCAGACCATATGAAACTTACTCTAAAAAATCACACTGTCCTTGGCTCAATTTAGGGAGTGTTTTTTCCAACGCGACACTTTCAGGCAACTTCTTGCTGATTTTGCAATCAAATTTGCCCGTCAATAACAAGTTTGATAAAAAGTGTCGTGACGTTGTGTCGTGTAGGAACATGCCCTGAGAGACAGAATTCGCAAAGGAGGGGAGGGGGAATCGAATTCGAGGGGGAAAGGGGGAGGAAATCAAAACCGAGGGGAGGGGTGAAGCGAAACAAAGGGGAGGGGGGCGGGGGGGAGGAGGGAGGGGGGAACGAAACGGAGGGGAGGGGGGGGGGGTCAAGACGGAGGGGAGGCGTGGAAGCGAATCGGAGGGGAAGGGGGAAGCAAAACGGAGGGGGAGGGGGGGGGGGTTCGAAAATGGAGGGGGAGGGGGGAGGATCGAAACGGGGGGCAGGCGGGAAGCTGCGGAATTGGGCGATGGGAGAAACTTCATGCCATTGCAGCGCCCCGGTTGATCGATCGTGGACGTTTATCACTTGCGACCATCGAATGGTTAAAAAACGTCGAAACGATCGCAATCGATCGTGGCCGTTACGTTTTTATAGTATTTCAGTTGACCAAACGGGCAGCTGTCGAGAATTTCGCCTAATAGGAACGACTATTATTAGAATGCGACATTTACTCTTAGTCGAATGCAACTTAAAAAAAAAAGTGAAATCCTCTCTCCAAGTTGCCAAATCAGTTTTTTCTTTTGTACACGCCCTAATGAAAAGGCAAACTTTTGCTAGGAAACACTGATGAATCCACGTAAATTTTCTTGACGAAAAGCTGATGAATCATGGTACCCTAAAACCAATCGTGGGGCCTGGTGTGAACTCCGAAAATATAAGATTTCGACTTGGGCACAGGACTCTGAGTCGACATTCTGAACCCTGAGTATTTTAGACTTGTTGACTCTTGGACACTGAGATTTCAGAGTAGCGAAATTTTGAAAAATGACCCTTCAGACTCGCGATTTTTTTTGGGGGGCAAAATCAGAGTGCCTTTTTTTGAAACGTCAGCCCTGCCAACATGGTATGAGAGCTGGTCAGAGACCAAACTCCCAGCAACTACGCTCTATCTACAGTCAAGCATATCAAGAGATTCATCGATTACAAGTCATGGACAACAAGGGCAAGAAGTCTTCTACGGGCTCACCCAACGCATAAGACACTCAAACCGGCAACCATGGACTACACACTTCAGGACTACAAACTGAGACCGGCGCTGCTCAAGAAACAACAGGGAGGGTACCAGAAATGGTAACCCCTTCACCCTCTTCAAGCGTGGACCGGAACCTTATGGAAAGGTTCTTCAGCTTCATGTCGCATTTTGACCAGCAGCAGCAGACGAGGACACCTGCGCATTCAATACAGAGCAACGGGGGGAATATGGGATTAGCACCAATGAGCCTCGACAACTCATCATTCGGACGGCACAATCAGGTGCCTACCTTTGCGCCTTATCACTCTTCGCCAGGGACGTTCGAGCTCATGCCGCCCCGTGCTCAACCGACAGCAGCTGCATCACAACAGACACCAAACGAGATATTGAGTCTCCAGGCGCAGTTTTCACATGTAATCAAACTGCAGACATCTTCATCATTCAATGGGCACGAAAAACAGCGCATCACCGCACCTACTGTGGACAGGAAAACAGGGCAGCACAAAATTACTTCGAGTCTTTGGCTGCATGGTACAGTACAGACCCCACACAGCCCGAGCAGGTCGATTCTCTCAACGAGCACGGTGGGGACTACACCTCGGCATCGCAAAACATTTCCAAGCATGGAAACTTCTCGACATTCAGGACAAAACCACCGTGGCCTCACGTGATGTGATTTTCTACGAGCGACTGATGCTGCAACATTACCTGGACAACATCGCCAACACAGACGACCCCACCGACGGCTTCGAGGGCCATTGGTCCTTTGCCGACCGTGCTGCCGAAGCTGGCGCAGCAGAAGAAAACGTACCTGATCCTCGGAAGCTGCCGGACCACTACCTTATTGCTCCGTGCCCGTTCCACTCGACGACGACAATCATCTCGATAGTAACAACCTCGACACCTATTACCACTTCACTGACTAAGGTTACGCTATACCTCAACCGGTCGACACAAATGTCTCTGAACGCATCAGACCAAAATTCTTACCTGATCACGAAGACGGTGACGAAGCAGCTTATCCCGAGAATACCAATTCCCCTTGACACACACCCACGGGCCTGCAGATACTTGGACTATGGGTCGCCGTCCTGAGCCCGCCACCACCGTCACCACGCGAGCCATCGACTCTGTCGTAGGCTCTGGGGGGGGAACACAAGGCAAAATGGAAGGAAGCAATGGAAAAGGAACTGAAGGCCCTGCAAGACCGAAATACGTGGAAGCTGGTATTTGCGACAAAAACCAACGGGAAAAATGTACTCTCGGGGAAATGGGTGTACCGCATCAAGACCAATGCGGATGGCTCCATCGACCGCTTCAAAGCTCGCTGGGTCGTACGAGGATTCGACCAGCGATATGGAACCGACTACATGGAGACATTCGCCCCGGTTTCCCGACACACTTCCCTGCGCATTTTGCTCGTCGTCGCGGCCACGAAAAAGATACCACTGCGCCAGATCGATGTCGCCAACGCCTTCCTGTATGCACCTGTGGACGCCGAAATCTTCGTTGAACAGCCCCACAGATTCATCGACGATCTCACAAAGGTGTGCCAGCTGATAAAATCCCTCTACGGAATCAAACTGTTGTGTGATGTCATCATATGTTATCACATTCTGTCTGCCTCCCATCCCTTGTTTCAATTCGCACGTATGGTTTGACTGTGTGTGAAAGAATTTGTGTGGTGTGTGTTCTGGAGTTTGGGAATGTGTTTTGTGTTATTCTGTCTGAGCAGGTATTTGTGATGATAGATCTTGAGAAGATCTTTCCGACGCAACAAGAATCGCGTCAATCGGAGCAAGAACGCGAAAGCTATGAAGATTCAAAGTTCATGAGCTTGCGTTACAATTGCGGCGGTTACAAAGTGAAGTTGTGGGGTGACTTTATATGGAGTTGGGACCTTTGGGGTTGGGGAAATTCGTCACTCTACTGTAACAGCTGCAAATTGGTTGGGAACAACCAAGCTAGGTTGGCAAGGGTGGCCAACTTGGATGGATTGGTTGGGAAGGGACAAATGTCAAAGTTGGGGTTCCTATAGGGAGGGAATCTTTGTGCTTATGGGGTTTCCTTGGTTGGGGACTCTCTTGGGACCTTCCCTCTCATCCCTCTCTTCTATCCCAACCTTTCTCTTGCTCCTCTAAATTCCTTGTGAGATTCTTGAACTTTCATTGAACTCTTGAGATTGAGTTAAGTTCTCCTCCTACAGCTTACCCCCTAGTGCGTCGAAAGCCATAGCGTCGCGAATACTTCATCAATCAACGTGATTCAAATTGGGAACGGTAGCTGAGATTAAGAGCTACAACATATCCAAGTTTCGCGACATTCCAACGGCTAGGTTTTTGTCGACGTCGTTTCTTGTGAAGACGACTTTTCTGTCCAGAATTTCGGATATATATTTTGAGTAATTCTAGCTCCTAAGTTCACCTAGACTCCGTCCTTAATTCTAACAAGTGGTATCAGAGCGATATTAAGGACATTGAGAGGAGTCTACAGAAGTGTGAAGACCCTTCTAGACCCACCATGGCCTGTGGGTGTGCCTAAGTGGTGTTCTAAAGGTTGGATGTGTCTTCCGCTAAGGGGAAACTCTGCCGAAATTTCGTGGACGCCGACACTTGTGAAAATATCGAGGGAGCTGAGTGTGGACAGCAAAGGGGAGCTGAAATTCGTCATTTCTCAAGGAGAAGATGAATGAGAGAGGAGGAGATGCTAATGGAAGAGGAGCTGTAGCTGAGAAGACAAGTGAGCCGCCGCCATCAAAAGTTGAAGCTTTGGATGGCTCCAACTATGAGGAATGGAGCGGACGGATGAGGAGTGCCTTCAAACGCTACAAGCTCCTGAAGATTGCTGTTGGGGAAGAGAAGATGCCGGAAGAAGGCGAAGCACGTGAACGGTGGATTGAGAAAAGCGCGGTGCTTTTCGACCTCATTCTTCAATCGGTCAACAAGGAGATGTTCGAGCACATCAAGGATCTTGTGGAAGCGGATGATTCGGGTCCAAGGGCGTGGAAACTACTACGTGATGTGGTTCAGCCCAACACTCTCCCGATGGTGATCGTGCTCGAGAAGGAACTTGCTGCCATCTCCATGCGACCAGGGGACGATGTGAAGCCGGTCCTTGACAAGATCAAGGACACCTATGCAAGGATGGCAGCAGCGGGCAGCAGTGTATCTCAGCTGCAGCAGTGCACCAAGATCATCTCGGTGTTGGACAACTCGTGGGATAACCTCATCCCCACCCTCAACTCTCAGCAAGATCAATGGACACCTGAGTGGCTAAGGCAGCAGATTCTGCAGGAGGACTTCCGCAGACGCCATGTGGGAGGCGGTGCTGCCACTAAGACTGCTGAGGGGTATGGAGCTGCAGGGCGCGGCAGAGGAAGAGGGGGTTGGAAAGGCCGAGGCCGTGGGAGGAGCTTTGGCAGAGGTAGAGGCCGAGGTGACTATAATGAGGGGCATGGGAGCTCTAGTGGCAGGGGGAGTACCAGAATGGAGGGCACGTGCTGGTACTGCAAGAAGGTTGGGCATCCTTGGTTCAAGTGCTTCAGCAGGCTGGAGGGATGGGCACCTCCAGGCATGAAGCCGCCCAGTGGTGAACGCGCACAAGGTGGCGCTGTGCAAGGCTCAGGTGCACAAGGTGAAGGTGCACAAGGTAATGCCTATCCTGGTTTGTTTCTTATGGTTGAGGATGTGCATGGGCATGAGGGTGATGTGGGATTTGTGGGAAAGGTTGTGATGCACCCTCTCACGCACTGGGTGATTGATTCGGGTTGCACCAGTCACATGACCCCACGGGCAGATTTGCTTGATGAGGTAAAACCCCCTGGGAAGATTAAGTATGTGGCAGCAGCGTCAGGTGCTTTGCTCCCCGTGATTGGTGTTGGGAATGCCAAGGTTAAGGGAGCTAATGGGGAGCTTGTGGGGCTTGGGAATGTTCTGCTGGTTAAAGGCTTGTCTGCTAACCTTCTCTCTGTGCGGCGGCTGCAGAAGAGTAAGGCCGAAGTGACCTTTGGACCAACCAGCTGCCGTGCTAAGCTTGGGAAGAAGGTGCTGTGGAGTCTGGAAGAGGAGACCAGCTGCATCAAGGACCTGTGGCAGCTGCCCATCATCCCTTGGAATGGGAAGACTCCAACAGCAGCAACGGCAGCAGCGGCAAAGGCAACAGCAGGAGGAGATGCAACTGCACCAACTGATGGGGTGCTGGAAGCAGTCAAGAAAGTGCAGAAGCAGCAGACACATGGTGAGGTGCTTGCTGGTGTGGATGCGAGTGCGGCATGGGCTAAGGCTTCATCAAGGAGTGGAGAGGCCGATTGGGAGACATGGCATGAGAGGTTGTGTCATGTGAACTTCCCTATGCTGCAGAAGTTGGTGAAGAATGGGAGCCTGAAGGGCTTGGAGGTGAAAGGGGAAGTGAAGGAGATTGGGAGCTGCCCTACATGCTTGGAGACCAAGTTCTCCAAGTTCCCCTTCAACAGCACTACAGGACCAGCCAAGACCCCACTTGCACTTGTGCACATGGATGTGGTGGGGCCCACAAGAGCCCCTTCCCTCTCAGGCAGCCGCTATTTCTTGACAATTGTGGATGACCACACTCGAGCAGTGTGGGTTTACCCTTTGAACAGCAAGGGGGAGGTGGCAGCGGCTGTCCTTAAGGAGTGGATGCCGAGAGCTCAGAGGGAATGCGGACACAAGGTGAAGGTGATCCGTAGTGACAATGGTGGGGAGTTCATTGGAGCTGATTTTGAGGGGGAGTTGAAGAGGAAGGGGATCCAGCATCAACTGACAGTGCCCTACAACCCACAGCAGAATGGCGTGGCTGAGAGGTTCAACAGGACCCTGCAGGAGGGGGCACGCACTCTCCTTGGGCGTGCAGGGCTGCCTGATCCGTTTTGGGTGTCTGCACTGAGGCAGGTCGCCCTTGTGAAGAACAGGGTGCTGGCTACAGTTGGAGATAAGGAGTGGATCCCATACGTCAAGTGGTATGGGAGTGCTCCAGCTGTGAACATGCTGAGGGCATTTGGGTGCATGGTGGTGTTTCATGTGCCTAAGGAGAAAAGGGGGAAGTTGGAGGCTTCTGGAAGATGGGGTGTGCACTTGGGGATTGCAAAGGATCACAAGGGGTGGCTGCTATGGGACTTGACCACCCAGAAGTTGACAGTGTCAAGGGATGTGAAGTTTCTTGAGTCCCTGTACTACAAGGAATGGAAGCAGCAGCAACAGAAGCTTCCATCTACACCGCTCATTGTGGAGGCGGATGAGGTGCAGCGGCCTTCAAGACAGGTAGAGGTTGCAGTGTCAGAGGAGGAGATGTCTGGGGTGACTGAGGAAGGGGGAGCAGCTGAAGTAGAGCAGCAGCAGCAGCAGCAGCATGAGTCTCCACCTCGAGTTCCACACCCGCCTGAGCGTCCTAGGAGGGATGTGCGCCCTCCAGTGAGGCTGACCTATGGGGGAAGAGGCAAGCCGAATGTGGTGCAGGCTGGGAGTGTGGTTGAGCAGATTGAGGAAGATGAGATCGCTCACTGCTACTGGGCACCAATCCCTGAGCCCAAGACTCGAGAAGAGGCCTTGAATGGACCAAATGGGGAGAAGTGGAAGGCGAGTGAGGATGAGGAGTTTGGGTCCCTGATTGAGAACGAGACATGGGACCTGTGTGACTTGCCTCCTGGAAAGAAGGCAATCACTTCCAAGATGATCTACAGGCACAAGTATGGACCTGAAGGGGAGCTGACCCGATACAAGTCTAGGCTTGTGGCAAGGGGGTTTCAGCAGACAAAAGGGAAGGACTATGATGAGGTGTTTGCTCCTGTGGGGAAAGGAACAACACTGAGGGTGCTGTTGGCGATAGCTGCACTCCTGGGATGGAAGATACGGCAGATGGACATTGTGACTGCCTTTCTGAATGGGATCATTCTGGAGGAGGTGTATATGAAGCAGCCAGAGGGGCTGGATGATGGGAGCGGCAGGGTCTGCAGGCTGAAGAAGGCCATCTATGGCCTTAAGCAGGCGCCTCGTGCATGGTATCACAAGTTGGAGGAGGCGCTGCTGGCTGGGGGTTTCAAGAAGAGTGAGTGTGACCCCAGCCTGTTCCTGCTGCAGGAGAAGGATGAAATCCTCATGCTCTTGGTGTACGTGGATGATATCCTTCTCTTTTCTGCATCAACTGCTTTGCTGGACAGCGCAGAGCAGATGCTAGAGATGCAGTTCAAGTGTTCCAAGATGGGTGAGGTGAAGTACTACTTGGGGATGCATGTGGAGAGAGATGTGGAGAAGGGTGTGCTGAGGTTGCACCAGAGGAAGTACTGTGAGGGGCTGGCTGAGAAGTATGGGCTGCAAGATGGGGGAAAGCCAGCAACACCACTACCTTCAGGGTTTACTGTGGAGCCATGTGCTGATGAGGAGGTAGTGGGTGAGAGTGACAGGAAGCTGTTTCATTCGATGGTTGGGTCGCTGAATTATGCTGCAAATCATACACGGCCTGACATTGCATTTTCTACATCACGGTTGGCTAGTGTGGTCTCACGCCCTAGTCATGAGCAGCTGGAAGCGGCCAAGAGGTTGGTCCGCTATGTGAGTGCTACGGCATCAGTGGGATTGGAGTACAGTGGAGTGAGGCAGCGGTTGCAGAGAGGTGCTGCAGATGTGAAGAGTGGTGAGATGCTCTTGAGTTGCTATACTGACGCTAGCTTCAACTCAGTGAAAGCGGATGGCACCAGCATTGGGGGTTATGTGTGCTTGCTAGGAGGTGGTGCTGTGAGCTGGCGCAGCAAGAAGCAGAATGAGGTGGGATTGTCCTCATGTGAGACTGAGTACATGGCCTTACACCATGGGGCCAAGGAAGTAGTGTGGCTAAGGCGTTTGTTGGAGGAGTTGGGAGTTGGTCAGGAGGAGCCGACAGTTGTGTTCTGTGACAATGAGTCTGCTGTGAAGCTCGCCAAGAATGCTTGTTTGCATGGGCTGACAAAACACATAAGGCCTAAGTGGCACTGGGTGAGGAGACTCCTTGATAAGGAGGTGCGGCTGGAGATAGTGAAGACCCATCAGCAGGCAGCAGATATTTTCACCAAGCGTCTGGCGGAGGCGGATCATTGGAAGGGCATGAAGCTTGCTGGGATGAGTGTGCATTGAGTATGCATGCTTGAGATGTTGGTATGGTGGTTGATGGTTGGCAGCCAGAGGGGGAGATTGTTGTGTGATGTCATCATATGTTATCACATTCTGTCTGCCTCCCATCCCTTGTTTCAATTCGCACGTATGGTTTGACTGTGTGTGAAAGAATTTGTGTGGTGTGTGTTCTGGAGTTTGGGAATGTGTTTTGTGTTATTCTGTCTGAGCAGGTATTTGTGATGATAGATCTTGAGAAGATCTTTCCGACGCAACAAGAATCGCGTCAATCGGAGCAAGAACGCGAAAGCTATGAAGATTCAAAGTTCATGAGCTTGCGTTACAATTGCGGCGGTTACAAAGTGAAGTTGTGGGGTGACTTTATATGGAGTTGGGACCTTTGGGGTTGGGGAAATTCGTCACTCTACTGTAACAGCTGCAAATTGGTTGGGAACAACCAAGCTAGGTTGGCAAGGGTGGCCAACTTGGATGGATTGGTTGGGAAGGGACAAATGTCAAAGTTGGGGTTCCTATAGGGAGGGAATCTTTGTGCTTATGGGGTTTCCTTGGTTGGGGACTCTCTTGGGACCTTCCCTCTCATCCCTCTCTTCTATCCCAACCTTTCTCTTGCTCCTCTAAATTCCTTGTGAGATTCTTGAACTTTCATTGAACTCTTGAGATTGAGTTAAGTTCTCCTCCTACAGCTTACCCCCTAGTGCGTCGAAAGCCATAGCGTCGCGAATACTTCATCAATCAACGTGATTCAAATTGGGAACGGTAGCTGAGATTAAGAGCTACAACATATCCAAGTTTCGCGACATTCCAACGGCTAGGTTTTTGTCGACGTCGTTTCTTGTGAAGACGACTTTTCTGTCCAGAATTTCGGATATATATTTTGAGTAATTCTAGCTCCTAAGTTCACCTAGACTCCGTCCTTAATTCTAACACAAACAAGCCCTGCGGATTTTGCAGCAGCACCTCAACGACCGCCTCGTCAGGATCGGTTTTCTGCAGCTACCGCACGATCAAGGCATGTACCGACTACAGAAGAGGGGGGATTTCTTCCTACTCATCATCTACGTCGATGATCTACTCTATGTCGGATCCACTACCGACATCACCACCTGGTTCGAAGGGGAGCTGAGGGATTTAACACTCACGGTGTCTGACACCGTGAGCCAATACCTGGGTCTAAACATCATCGAAGACGACTCAGCGCTCTACCTACACGCCGGAAAATACGCAGGCGTTGTCGCAAAGAAATTCGACCTAACACCAGTCGTAGTCGCAACTCCCTACCGCTACGGGAACAACAGCGACACCTCCGCAAAACTCCCCGCGAAGAAAATCCAGGAATATCAACAGAAGCTCGGCTGTCTACTGTTCGCAGCAGTAACCTGTCAACCGGACCGGTCCTACAGCGCGAGCCAACTGGCGACACACCTGAAGCAACCGGAGCAAGAGGATCTCGAGGAACTAAATCGGGCACTGCTCTATTCGTCTCTACGCCGACGACCGGACTCACCTACAGCAAAGTAACAACATCGTCCGTACAACTACTCGGCTATGTCGACGCCGACCACGGGGGAGATAGGGAGAACCGTCGCTCCAGAACGGGCTACATCTACCGACTAGAACCTATCAGGACTATCTCCTGGCAATCGAGCAAGCAGGAATTAATCGCGCTATCTTCGGCTGAAGCGGAATATATCGCTCTCTACACTGCAACCAAAGGACTTTACCTGCGGGAGCTGCTCAAGGAAGCGAAAATTGCGACCATGCCCGCCTTCTCGTTATTCTGCGACAACCAATCCACGATCAAAATCGCGAACAAAGACGGGTTCGCCAATCGAACCAAGCACATCGACCTACGGTACTTCTTCGTCAAGGATGAGATCGCGAAAGAAAGACTTCAACTTAGTTACTGTCCTACGACAGAAATGGCCGCAGATTACTTGACAAAGAAACTGGCGAAGACAAAGTTCGATTACTGCATGCTGCTGACCGGACAGATAAACGTCACCGAATCCGGACACGTCAACACTCCAGAAACGAAGGGGAGTGTTGGAAATATCTCGAGGACTTAAGCGTTTCTGAAGTGTAACACTACACTCGAGGAAAGTCGTAACGGGTATGCGAGTCAACGGAGGTTACACGAGGAGATGGACGAAAGAACACGAAAGGACGAAAAGGACTCGAAGGGTCGCAACTGCAAGGGTGGTAACCGAACCAACAATCGAGTCGCTGTGCGACTAAATAACCGTTCCTTCAACTGTATTCTACAACTGCTTTACTTTCCTATTCTCTATATATCGCTGTATGCTTGTTTCTTTTAATCAATCACTTGCTCTCACATACTAGTGCAAGGGTTCAACTACTCAATACTTCCACTGCACTACTCAAAACCTTGTACATGTGGGACTTAGTCTCTGGAAAGGTCCTACGGGCTTTTCTCAGCCCAACATGTTGCGTGCCTAGATCTGGGCATTCCGCGCCATTTTACGAACCATACGTTACAGCTCCGCTGAGCCATGACCGTGTGGTCCTTCTAAGAGTAGAAAAGGTAACGAGAATGAGTCATACAGGTTGATTTTGTTCAAGTTGTTGTACTCTCTAAGAACACACACCTATTCTAGCCTATAACTTCTACTGTTATAATAATGCAAATGATTAGAAGGAAGAGGGTGAAAGAATTCAAAAGGTGGTGCAATAGACGAAGTATAGAATCTGCAGACACAAGTGCTTGAAATAGAAAGTAATACTGTAATGTCAAACATAACTTATGCAGTTACTGTAGACTATACATGCTTGTGCCTTAGAGGGTACTGCTCACTAGTCTATATTGTCTTGTATCTCTCATTTCTAGTTCATTATTACATTCTAATATGGTATCATCGTAGGTTTAGGTCCTCTTCCTAGCTTGCACAAACTTCCGCCCCTAGGCCCTAGCCCCCATACGTTCTCGCCCCTAGCTGGCTCCCCTGGCCGTCGCGCTCGCTTCTAGCCGGCCCCCTGACTGTCGCGTCTGTCCCTAGCCGGCCCCCTGACCGTCGTGCCCGCTCCCAGCTGGCCACCTGGCCGTATGCGCCCGTCCCTAGCTGACCCCTGACCTCTCGCGCTTGCCCCTAGCTGGCCTCCTGGCTGTCGCGCTCGCTCCTAGCCGGCCCCCTAGCCGTTGCGCCCGTCTCTAGCTGGCCCCCTGGCCGTCGCGCCTGCTCCTAGCCGGCCCCCTGACCGTCGTGATGGCTCCTAGCCAGCCCCCTGACCGTCGCGCTCGCCCCTAGCCGGCCCCCTGGTCGTTCGCGCCCGTCTCTAGCCGACCCCTGACCGTTCGCGCCCGCCCCTAGCTGGCCCCCTGGCTGTCGCGCTCGCACCTAGCCGGCCCCCTAGCCGTCGCGCCCGTCTCTAGCTGGCCCCCTGGCCGTCGCGCTCGCCCCTAGCCGGCCCCCTGACCGTTCGCGCCCGTCCCTAGCCGGCCCCCTGGCCGTCGAGCCACCCCTAGCCGGCGCCCTGGCCGTTTCGCGTCTGCTCCTTGCAGGCCCCCTGGCCGTTTGAGCCCGCCCCTAGCCGTCGCGACTGCTTCTAGCTGCCGTCGCGGCCGCTTCCCGCCATCCCTCGGCCGCCCCTAGTCGTCCTGGCCGCCTCTCGCCGTCGCGGCCGCCCCTTGCCGCCGCCGGTGCTGACTCCAGCTGCGTCACGGTCGCTCCTGCCGTCGCGGCCGCCCCTAGCCGATGTCGCGGCTGTCCCTGGCCGCCGTCGCGGCTGTCCCTGGCCACCGTCGCGGCCGTGTCTACTTGCCGCCCGCCGGCCGCCCCCTGCATTCACGCCGTCGCCGGCCCGCCGCTGCCTCGGGTTCGGCCCGTTCTTCCCGATCAGCACCGCCCTCCGAACCCCCCCCCCGGTACCGTACTGCATCGCTTTGCACCGCACTGCACCGCTTTGTACCGCACTGAACCACTTTGCACCGCACTGCACCACAATGCACCGCCCTGCATCGCACTGCACCGCGCTGCACCGCACTGTACCGTACTGTCCCGCACTACACCGCACTGCACCGCACTGTCCCACTCTACACTCCCCTCTATTGTCACTGATGGCGGTGGTGCTTTGCTTTGATGCTGAGGGCCAACCGATTGAGTTTGATGCGTGGCTTGCTGACCTCCGTCGCCATCTCACTGGCCAGCGGCAGGATGGCCACTCGCTGTCTGTCCATCTTGATGGTACCCTCCCCTGCCCTGACCCCCCCGCTGCACTGTCTCCTGACCCCTCGTCCGCTGAGCGTGAGTCCGCTGCAGCTGCTGCCCTTGCTCGCTCTGTCTGGCTGTCCCGTGACGCTGTTGCACAGCTTGCTATTAGCAATGCCCTCCCCCTGTCTGAGCGACCTCGCTTCAGGTCTATCACCACTGCCAAGGCCTCCCTAGATGCTGTTGTCCAGCTCTATTCCACCCCGCCTGCTGCCTCGGTCGGTCGTCTGATCCTCCCCATGCTCTTTCCTGACCTTGCATCGCTCCCCACTGTCGCCGACCTGGCCGCTCACCTGCGCACCATAGACGAGAACTGGCGTGTTGCCTGCACCCCCACACAGCTTCTAGCCCACCATTTGCCCCTCACCTCTACTCTCTATCTGCTAGCCACCCGCCTCCCTGACCGTCTTGCCACTGCCCGTGACCGCTTTCTTAGCGTCCACCTTGCAGACCTTACCCTCACTGA